TGTACAACAAACAATTTTCAATACTCGCTAATACAGTAAAAACACTTTACAATACTTGTTAAAGCAATAACAACGCTTAACTAAACTTATTAACACAATTAAACTTATAGCTTGCTTATTCGCAACTCACTTCTCTGCTCATTTTACTTGTAGCTTGCTGACTTGTAACTGACTCACCTCGCAGTGGTGGCGCCCTTATATACCTGCGCTGGCACTTATGGGAACTCTAGAACTTTCTGAAGTTTATCGCTCATTCTCTTTCTCTCGCTGTTCGCAGTGTTCATTCAACTTGACGTTTCTCTTTGTGGAACATTCTACGTCATTCCTCGAACATTCTGCCTATTTCTCGTTGTTCGCTTCGCGTTGCCGCAGTATTCGTCACAATAACTTTCAACTTAAATATCGATGTTGCGGGTAAAGTATCGATGTTTTCGATATATCAACCTGGAGATATCGATTCAACAAACCGATTATCGCACCATGAAATATCGATATTCAGAATAATCGATACGATATCGAAAATTCCTAGTAGCTTTCTTGCATGAACCAAAAAGACAAGATCACGCGGGCAGGAGACTAGCCCGTTAGAATCGCATTTAGGAAAAAAGTTGAACGATTTTGACATTCGCCGTTTGTTTACATTTCTACGTTGTTTACAATTTGGTGGTGGCTTTTTACTGCAATTTTCTTCATTTTCGCTTGTGACAACGTGTGTACCATAAGATAAAGAATAATTTAACACAACGGCATGATTTATAGAAGAATTTGCATAATAAAAATGATTTTTCATGCGTTCAACAATTTCGCGGTTTTCTCCGTTCTCTTCGTTGTTTACTTCTTACAACAGAGATGGCGTCGAGATTTCGGCAGCTAGAAAATAACTTTTTTCGTTCTTTCCTTCCCGCGTGATCTTGTGTCTTTGGTTCATGGCTTTCTTGTACGCGATAGTTTGTACAAGTTTTTACTATCACGTTTTGGTGTTCTTGTACCCAAATAACTTGTAAGAAAGGGGAAATTGAGAGCGCAAAGTAACATTTCATTTTGAGGAAAAGTTGCTAGTCTTTACTGGATAAATTTTTACTAGTAAGAACTTGCAAGTGAGAAAAACAGCTGATCGCATGTTACTGGGTGCAAT